GTTTCAGACAGTGACAAGCGCTACAAAACATACTAACGTAGGGAAATGAACAGGCAAGGATGAGGGAAGAGGGGCTGCAGGGAAGGCCTCCCTGTGGGGGCGTTTCTGAGCTAAGAACCAAATGACAGGAAACAAAACTGCTGCAGGGAGCAAGGGACAGGAACCTAGACACAAAGAAGCTAGGCCTGTTGGAAGAAGAGAGGCAGCCTGCGGTCCCAGCACACAGAAAGAAGGGAGAGCAAGTTGGAAGGAGTAACTCAGGGACCAGATCTTGAAGGGCAGGGTCTTGTAGCTGTTACTGTAAGCACAACAGGAGGCCCCCAGGATCCTTTAAGAAGGGATCAGCTAATAGTGGCTGACCTGTGCTGAGTGCTGCCTGTGTGACAAGCACAGTTCCACACACTTTGCACACACTAGCTCATTTTCTCCTCCCAGCAACCCTGTGAAGTTGGAACAAATACAAACCTCATTCCATGGTTGAGGAAGCTGAGTCAAACAGGCAGTACATGGGGGAGCCAGAACTCAAAGCCAAGCTGTTTGGCTGCAGGAAATGATTGTAGAGGTGAACAAGGGCCAAACAGGTAGGGCCTTGAAGGCCAAGGTAAAGGATTTGCATTTTACTTCAAGTGTAATAGAAAAAGACACTGGAGGGGGACTGAGATTTTCTGGCCCATTCCCTTATATCTGAACTAAGAGAAGGCACAAATTCTGGGACGAGCACACAAAATTTTGGCTGGGTTGGCTGTTAAAAAACAAACTACTGCAACTTCAGCCATATGCAGAAGTCTAACCCAGCCAGTGTTAAGCAGAACGCTCTAGCGTCTAGCCCCTGCAGAACTGGATGCCTTCCCTTTAGGTCAGGGTCCTCGAAGTGAGACCCTACACCAGCACCATCAGATCACCTGGGATCTTGTCACCAATGCAATTCCTGACCTCAGACGTACTGAATCTTAGAGACCCAGCAATCTGTTTTAACAAGCCCTCAAGGCAATCGGAATGTCCTCAGAAGCTGAAGAACCACCACTCTGGGATATCCACAGGCAGATACCACCATCACCACCAACTCTCCTAAGTCATGCTGTGTGTATCTTTGGGCAGCCCCTGCACTGCACACCAGGCCATTCTTCCCGGAAGTCTCTGCTGGTGGGGCTCTACAGATCCTGATTCCTGGAAATCTCACTATTGCCCCAACCCATTTTTCTAACTAATTTGATTTTCTGCATATATTTACTCTTTAAATGTTTCAGCCTCTTTTATCCCAGAGTAAACCTACTCTTCCTTCCTACTTCTGGGGCTTAATTTTACTTTCAGCCTTAACCTAGGCTCCAAGGCAGACAGATGCAAATGCTACTTTCAGCTTTAACCTTGACTTTCCCCAACACCCCTCGTTTACCAGATTTCCCTTTTTAATTTATTCATCCCTCCTTTACTCATGTTCCAGTTGGACCCTCAGCATTCTAGGAACTAACTGTGCCAGGTACTTCAGCTATACCAAAACAGACCTCATGAAACTGACATATTACGGGGAGATGGCAAGATGCAAATAAGTATATAATTATAAATGACATACCAGAAAAGCCTGAGACTTGAATGATGAGGAGGCAGGGCTGACAGTTCATGACAGTAAACATATAGGGGCTGAATCTATGGCAGATTCTATTCTAAGTGCTTTTTACATATATTATCCAGGTAATCTTCCAACAGCGCTATGGGTTAGGTAGTATTATCACTTTCACTCCATATGGAAGGAAAATGAAGTATAGGGAGAATACGGGGCATGTTAAGCAGAATGCTGTAGTCTCTGGAGAACTGGATGCCTTCTTTTAGGTCAGGGTTCTCGAAGTGAGGCCCCAGACCAGCACCATCAGATCACCTGGGATCCGGACAGCCGGAATCCCAACCCAAGCAGACTGGCTCCAGAGCCTACCTAACTACAGGCTAAGGTGAGAAGAGCTGAGTGGAATGCTGAGTGTGAGGGGGTGGCTAGACAGACAGATGTCCAGGCAGAAAGACCAGAATAGAATATGCAGGAACCCCAGGACAGAGAAGTCATCCTGAAGCCAGAAGGGAGGCCAAGAACATTGGTGAAACTGAGACCGTCTGGTGGATTGGAGATGCATTTTGGAACTGAACAGGATGTGCCGATGGATGTATGGATGCTGATAGATGAATGGGGTGTAAGCGAGGAGGGGGTCTCAAGGATGACTGCCAGTTTTTTGATTCCCTGCCTTAAAAGCTCGAGGGGACAGTTTGTTTGCAGAAGGCAATGTATTATAACATAACATATAATGAAGTCCTGCAGGATGCTGATGCACAGCAAGCTCTCTAATAAATATAACCAGTCCATCACGCAGGTTAAAGCTTCCACATCCCCGCACCCCCCACCCCCTTAATTCTCCACATGGGTCTTCATTCAGGGGTTCCACCCTATCTGCTGGGGCCCTTTTCTGAAACACCATTACCACAGGTTAACAATAAAAATTACATTTACGGTGACAAGAATAACTTCTACTAGGAGGAGGGCTTTTCTCACACAAATGGTTTGAAATTTTTTCTGAAGCGTACAATCAGACTAATTTACAAATGAGAGGCTATGCAACTTGCCTAGGCCACACAATCACCAAAAAAAAAAAAAAAAAACAACAAACCCTAAATCCAGGTCAGCCCAACTTGGAAGCCCACAGTTCCTCCATTAAATCAGGATTTCCCACCACATGTATCTCTAATGGAACACAACTGTTGTTTTAGGTACAGAGAACCTTTAAAGTGTTAATAGTAATAGTCTCATTTTAATATGTATAATCATATATGTGTCTATGCATCTAGTATCAAATGGATTTAAAATAGTATGTATACATGATTTGATATAAATTTTATATATACATATATTGTAATAAAACCATGACTCCACGTGTATTATTGCCCAGGAAACACAGAGTTTCTTAAAAATTAAAGAAAACTTTAGAATAAAAGTTCAGGTGGTACAGGGGTAGGGTAGAAATATTGAGGGAGGTAGTACATAAATAACTAAAGCTTAGGGTACTCACCAACCACCCAAGAACAGCCAAGCACCTGTTCCATATTGTACCCAAATTTGGCTACAGCCACACATAACTCTGACTCTTGAAAGAGATAAAACATTGGCTGCCTTGGGAAAGGGGATAACATCAGAATGTTATTTATGATAGTATCCCATAAATCATCCTCAAAGCAATATTCATTTTGACGTAAATACTGTTTTGGTGGTACAACTCCTCTGCTTATTCTCCCATACACCTTAGTTAAACCAGTCAAGCTTCTTTGACTTTGTCCAGAGAAAGTTATAAAAAGTAGTCCCTAAGGTCGCTTCCAGTTTTACAACTCCATAAAATGTTGTGAGACCCTGAAATCCAAAATTAGTCTTTCCAGAATCGCAGAGGCCCCAATCCTGAAATGAGCGTTGGCCTGAAGAACAAATGCTAAATAAGCAAACACAGCGTCCCAAGCCATCATGCTATCAATTATGCTGCCCTCTGGAAAGGCGCAGTAAGACATTAATTACGAGATGATAAAGATCAACTAAATGTCCCTGTCTCTATCAAAACTTTAAGAATTTCTTCCCAATCATTTTTAAGTTATTAAGTTTACACTGATCCTCAGCCTCTCTAATTCTAGTCCTTAACCATTAACTTCATTCTAAGTCGAGTTAGAAGGGTGGGGTAACAGGTGGGGGAAAAATCCGCGAAATCTTCTCAAACTCCTACCATCCTGTGAAGCTGGTGCTGGAAACCACCTGTAAAACCTTCCCAGCTTTCATCTGCGTGACTCCACCGATGCTGAAGTATATTTAGTGTGCTAAACCTCTAAAGAGAGTTGCTGTTCCTTACTTCTTAGACACGTTATAAGCAAGGCAGTTTAACCAGAACAAGCACTTACTCTACTAATGAAACAGACACATTTATCAAAAGGAATTAAGGACCCCTCCTTGCCTGATTTACAAGGCCCCTTCTGTGCTATCAGTGGACGCACAAACTTTTAATGGAAGGTTTTTAGATTCTCAGAAAGATAAGTTTTGAAATGTGGTCAGTTCGCGTTTAGCTGAAGAAAACACAAGATGGGTGGGCGGCAGCTGGCAAACCCAAAAAATACAGCTGGCGAGCAGGTGATCCAAAAAAAAAGGCAAGTCCCTGGGCAAATGGTGTAGCCAAAGGTGATCATTAAAACTGGAGACTTGTTACATAATTACTTAACTCCTGACAAACACATACATAGCTACAAAATGCCGTGGTTAGCCATTGAAGCTAGTGTACCTCGTGCAAGAGTCAAGGTTTCTCCAATTAATTTGATTCAGAGAACTAAGCAATCCTGGGACCTATTTCCTCCCAAGGTAACTTGCCTGTGCATACACAAAACAGTCTCCAGCAATTAAGCCAATTGCCTCTCGGGATGAAAATCGGTGTTTCTCCTTAATTTTAATTTGTAAAGGGGAGAAGGGATACAGACGTATATTCCGAGAGCTAAATGTTTATCACTTCGGTAAAAACGCCTTCCATTCCAAACTGGAAAATCTGAAAAGCTCCCCTCACCTTCGTCCCTGGCCAGCGGACGCAAAACGCAAGACCTCAGTGTAGGATGCACTGCATTCCAACATTTTTCAAAAAGTTTACGAGGATTTGCCGAAGCGGCAAGAAGAAAAATAAAGCAAGCAGAAGCGGGTGAGAGCGGGCAATGTTTCCGCAGGGAAGAAGCCGGAGAAGCGCCCAGTGGCGCCGTGCAAGGCCAGGCAACGAGAAAGCGGCCGGCACACGGAGAGCGAGCGCCCCAGTGGAGCGCGAGGACTGACAGCCGCACGATCTCCGCCGCCTGGGGGTCGCCCAGCCCCCTAGCCCGGCCTCAGTCTCTCATCCCCCTCTCCGACCTCTTCCCCCGCAGCGCCGGCGATGCCCGCTGGGCCAACTTGGCCCCGGGTCAGCGCTGCAGAGGGCGGCCCCGGTTGCCGGGGAGGCCGCCGGCGCTCTTACCTCCTTCTGCTTGGGGTCCTGTGGATAGACGTCGGGCGGACCGAGCCGGGGGCGCTTCAGCGGTCTCTGCTCATAGCTGAGAAGCCCGAAGGCGGCCATGATCTCTCATGTTAACCGGCGAAATGAATGAGAGTTGGAGCTGGAGCAGCCGCCTCTGAGCACCAGGGAGCAGCACTTTGCAGACAGACTCCCTCTCTCCCCCTCCTCGCTCGCTCGCTTGCTGTGGCGCTGCAGGCAGGAATAAAGCAGGTTGAATGCTGCCGCTGCCCGGCAGCAGACACGCACTGATGGGGACGGCCTCCGGCGGGCACTCGACTGCGCTCGAGCCCGGGGACGCACTGCTCCCGCGGCGGCGGCGGAGGGGCTAGAGGTCGGCAGGGTCCTCCGCAGCGCCTACCTCCTGCGTTCCCCCACACCCAGTCCCCAGGGGGAGGAGCAGCTGATGGGAACGTGTGACTTTTTTCACCAATGGACCCAAACCCACCCCAGCTGGGCGCAGGATGGGGTGGGGGTGGGGCACTGGGGGAAAAAAAAAAAAAAAAAAAAAAAAACTTTTCTTGGCGCCTAGGCTGGTGTCTCAAGTGCTTGCCCAAGGCGAGGGTGGCCCTCCTCCCCTGCTGAGCGGACCGCCCCCGCCTCTCTTACCCGGCAGGGACCCTTCCCCCGCCGCCACGCGCCCCGCAGACTCCGCCACCTGGGCGCGGACCCGGCCGGTGCAGAGGAGCGAGACCTGGAGGGGGCGCGAGACGCAGGGATGCGGCCGGTGGGAAGCGGCCGGTGCCTCCTAGACGCCCGCCAGGCTCCGGTGGCGCATCCGCGGCTCCGGTCGCCTCGGCGGCTTCGGGCAGGCGCCGAGGCGCGCTGCTGGCGGTCGCGGCGGCTGGAGGGGGCCGTGCTCACGGTGGCGCGGGGCCGACTTAACCCTTTACTGTCCCTCCAGGGGCTGAGGAAGGGGGTGAGGAGCGATGTCTGTGAGCGCCGACGGGGGCAGCCAGCTTGCAGGCGTCTCGGGCTCCTCCAGCCCGCCGCCTCTCCCCGGCCCCAGCTCCTCTTCCCTTCCACCCCCCACCCCCAACAGTTTACCTGTTGGTCCGCGGCTAGCGGGCAGGGGCTGGCGGCGGCGGGGTCACTCCGGCCGCCGCAGCCTCCATTATTCGGGTTAGGATGGGGGAATTGGATTTGATTTTATTTGTGAGGTATCTGCCTCGCCCGGACGAGCTCCGGGGACGCCGCGAAGTTTGCCACTGTCTGGGGGCGGCGAGCGACGCCGGCTCACCGCCGGCGTTCTCGCCCCCACGGCCGGGGAGCGCGAGCTTCCGAGTTGGCGGACGGCGGCGCGGCGTCCGCACTGAGCATGCCCAGCTCGGCGGCCGGACCGCGGAGGAGTTGGCTGCGAGCGCGGCGAGCGCGCTCCAATCCGCCTCTCCGGGTTTTCGCAGCCGCAGAGCGCGCAGCCCGCGGGCTCCGGCGCCGAGGCTGGCCCTGGGGTGAACCAGGGCGAAGGCGGGAGCGCCCTCAGGAGCCCCGCTCCAGGCCCCCAGCCGCGCCTTCCGCCTCGACCTCCTCAGAGGTCGCTGTCCCCGTGGCCCGGGCCGAAAACCTCACCTGCGCCGAGAGCGTGGAAGGGGCGGGGGGTGGGGGCGGCGATCTTCCAGGGCAGACCTTGGGCATCCAACCCGCCCTCGCTCCTCGCTCGCTTCGGGGTGCGGGCACCAAGATGCTGAGCCACCTGCCGCGAGCTCTGCGAGACCGGAGCCGCGGAGGCGGGCCGGGCCTGTCCTGAGGGACCTCGCGGGAGGCGTGCCCGGGAGAATGCGCCCGCACTTGGCCGAAAATGATGGCTGCCATTTATGGAGCCTTCGCTAAGTGCCAGGATCTTGACAGAATCTCTGGTCCTTACAACAACCTTCCACAGTCTTACTGTACCCTTTTTATGGATGGAGAAATTGAGCCAACTCAGAGACGTCTACTGACTTGCCGAAAGCCACGAAACTAGCCGGAATTTGAACCCACCATTGATTCCAAGTTTCTGACCTATTTTCCCTGACTTGGACTTGGAGGGACTGGGTTCCTAAGCTGCCATTGCCTAATGGAGTCACGTTCTCCACGGCTTGAGGCATTCTCGGCCTTCCCTCTCTGTAAGACGGTACAGGCAGGTTCTAACCAGAAGCCTTTGATACATCGTAGGTGCTCTGGAAATGTTGGTTGAATCTGAACATCGACTTACCTCTGTTGACGTTTAACAAAAGGAGAAGAAAGGAGGAGATAAAGTGATAGTAATGTGGTAGAGGCTAGTTCCTGACTCCTGACCCGAACCTGTGCGCACCTCCAAAACCAGTTTGAGACTGAGTCAGATATTTAGCTTTTGGCTTCCTTAACCGAAACAATGAACATTTACCCTCCACTGGAGGGCATTTCCTGACCACCTTCCTCATCTTACCCCAGGGTCTTCTTTTCCATTAATATCCTGGGACTAATGTCATGGCTGGACTTGCCTTTGTGATCTAGGCGTCTATCAAATCTAGCTCCCTTGTTTGAAAGAAAAGACAGCTTTTATTATTTCACTTTATTAGGGAAATTATTAAACATACAAAAAGCTGAAGAAATCATATAAGGAGTCACCAAATACTCATCTCTCAGCTATAAAAATGAAAGTATTTTTGTTTCATCTATCTCCCCCATCCCCACTCACTGACCTACACTAGTAAGGACAGTTTTACTCTGTTGCAACTCAGAAACACAGTATGGGACCTGACACGTGGTGAGCATTCAAAAAAAAAAAAATGTTGGCTTATGGAATGGATGATAGGTGATGTGTGGATGGACTGATGATTATATCATTAGTGGTACTTTGGGAATAATACCCTGTGCTGCTACTCAATCAAACACCCCTAGGCAGGGGGAGAAATGTAATCTCAATTCTTCCCTTGGGATACTTAAGCAAGCGCCTCCAACTGAAACACTTTGAAGCACTTCAAATCTTATCTGCCCATAAGAATTTTATCTTAAAATCAAAATGTGTCGGTAGTGTGCCCCTGTTGTTTGGGAAGAAGGGAAAATAATAGCCCTCTCACTGTTGTCCCTCCTTAACTCCCTCTCTTGAAACAGTCTGGCATATATTCCTTGACCCTCTCAACACAAATAAAGAGTGAAAACTTGAATACGCTTAGTAGCTTCCCCTAGGAATCATTATCTTACTGCATGGATTTCCCATGGGCACTTGGCTGTTTACCCTGAGAAATCTTGGCAATCTACCCCCTATCTAGCAATCCAACTTTTTCTCCTTAACCTCTTGCCCCAGTTAGCTTCTTTTCTAATATGGAATTCCCAGACCCTTTGTCTTCAGATACTCTCCTCTACAATCTTTAGAGTATGGACACTGGTAGAAAGTCCACTTCAGATTCCCCTGGCAAAAGGTGATCTTTTGGCTTTTTTTTTTTTTTTTTTTTTTAAATTCAGATGGAGTCTTGCTCTGTCATCAGGCTGAAGTGCAGTGGTGCAATCTTGGCTCACTGCAGCCTCTGCCATCTGGGTTCAAGCATTCTCTGCCTCAGCCTCCCAAGTAGCTGGGATTACAGGTGCCTGCCACCACGCCTAGCCTATCTTTTGATTTTTTCGTGCCCTTAGCACTTAATTTTTATTACCATTTTCTAACATTTATTGGCATTCATTTGAATATGTCACACAGAATAGTCTTGTTGCCTCATCCCCACATTTCCCTCCTGGTGCCCTTCTTCCATTCCAGAATTAGTCTTTAAGCAGACTAAATTCAGCTCATCATGATGGGCTTAACCTGTAAGCCATTGTGCTCTATACAGTACTTGAATTTCTCATGTGGTGCTGGTTAATATAGCAGATAGGCACACATTCTCATTGAATAATGTGGGTTCTAGTTGATACTGTTCCTAAGGTGCATCTTATCTTTACCTACCTAATGATCCCCTGGGCCCAGGAACAATTTGCATGGAACAGAAATTAGAGAAGACTAGAGGCTCCCCAAATAGGTCCCAGCCTAGAACCTCAGCCTAATAGGAAGGAATGAGTTCAGGTTCCTGAGGAAGTTTTGTATAGCTGTCCCGGAAAACGGGGTTGAAATGTGTCTGGAGACAGGTGAATTAATTATAAACCATTTTAAGCATATGGTGCTAAATCCTCCAAGTATAAAGCGTAGTCTTCACTGCTGCTTTTGTGGGTTGCCAAGTGTTTAAAAGTTGACCCTTTTTCTTGAGTCACATTCAAGGGTTTCTCAAAGATTCCCTAAGTGCTTATGTTCTGTCTACAAGCCCTGATTTTCAGCATTCTGCAAGGAGTCCCTCACAGTTGGTATCCACTTGTGCTTTTGGGCAAATCCCTTTAATATAGCTCATGGCTGGCTTTCTGTACATTTGGTCTGCCAGAAATACACAAATGTCCTTTGTCTGTACATACGCTAGTGCAGGCATTTTTCTAACTAGCCTTCTGTCCTTGCCCAGCATGAACACACTTTGCAATCCACAATTCTCCACCTTGCAAGTTCGCCAGTCTGAATCAGGCTCATGCAAACTGAAGAGGACAAATGTCAAATGCTCAGGTCAGTGACCCCCTCAAAGTTCTTTTCACAAGATTTGAAGTGAGGACTGAAATTTCTTTGGTGAAAGACAGAGACACAATCATTTGCAGAGCAGATTTTTTTCTTTTTCTTTTTTGAAGACAGTTTTGCTCTGTCACCCAGGCTGGAGTACAGTGGTGCCATCTCAGCTCACTGCAGCCTCCATCTCCCAGGTTCAAGTGATTCTCCTGCCTCAGCCTCCTAAGTAGCTGGGATCACAGGTGCGCACCCCCTCACCTGGATAATTTTTGTATTTTTAGTAGAGACAGGGTTTTACCATGTTAGCCAGGCTGGTCTCAAACTCCTGACCTCAAGTGTCCACCCACCTCAGCCTTTCAAAGTGCTGGAATTACAGGCATGAACCACTGCACCCAGGAGCAAAGCAGACTTTTAAAATTAGAGGGAAGAATGGCTAGGAGCAGAGGCAGGATGTTGACCCATCATAAACTGTGGTCCTGGCTGGGGATGGTGGCTCACACCTATAATCCCACCACTTTGGGAAGCTGAAATGGGTGGATCACTTGAGGCCAGAAGTTTGAGACCAGCCTGACCAATGTAGCAAACAAAAACTTAGCTGGGCATGGTGGTGCTTCCCTGTAGTCCCAAGTGCTTGGGAGGCTAAGGCAGGAGAATCACTTGAACCTGGGAGGTGGCGGTTACAGTGAGCCAAGATCGCACCATTGCACTCCAGCCTGGGTGACAGTGACTCTGTCTCAAAAAAGAAAAGAAAAGAAAAAACTGTGGTCCTACTATTCCTATTTTACAGATTAGCAGGCAGGGATCCAGAGGTGAAACTACTGGTCTCAGGCCATTGAGTTAGCCAGTGGCAAAGCCAGAATCAAACCTAGATCTCTCTGACTCCCAAACTTATGCTTATTATTGTTGTCAATGTGTTACATGTATTAATTATCATTTACATAACACATAAAAGTGAGCCTTTGAAGACAGTCTGGTATAAGAGAAGCAAAACTCCTGACAGCTCGCTCTGGCATAGCGGCACAATTCCATTCAAGTGGAAAGAAACAATTCTCAGTCTAGTGCCTGTAGGTGAAGTAATTAAAGTTGCTAGCTTTCCTCTTGGGATTGTTGCTTGTCCAGGTGTATATATTACTGGGTTTTGTTAACAGATTGTCTATTGGCAGTTTGCTTACTTTCCATTTTTCTTATATTCCCATTATATTTCAATGTATTTGTCTCATGCCTACTTCTGACTCAAAAAATAAAAATTTCCCCTTTCTTTTAGACTCTCCAAAAAAGGAAAGATGATAATGACTTGAGAAGGTGGGTCAGAAGACAGAAAGGAGAAATGGAGGAGTAATTTGGGGGTGTTCATTCAAACTGGGTTTTTAATACAGCATTTATGCTTACAGAGATATTAAAAATACAGACGTTAAGACTCTCAAGCAGCACTGACCAACAGATTTGTATTGCTTGCCAGATATATACTTTTAAATATTCTAGAACTCATATTAAAGAAGTAAAAATAGATGAAATTAATTTTAAAGTATATTTGCTTAACCCAGTATAACCA